AGAGAGAGTTCCGGTCCTGGGCCATTCTGTGCCAGTCATATTATTTTAGAATCTGCAAGTAACTGTCAACATCCCATTTGACAAGACGTAGATTAAGTCCAGGCATGTGGTGACAATGAACCTCTGTTCCTCCTCCTTCTTCCCCATCCAAGTCTAGGGAGTCAAGGATGATCTGTGTACACACAGGTTCTGAACACGGCACAAGTTCTGAAATAGGCAAAGCAGCTATGGCCACTGGTTTTCCAGATCCAGCCATTTCTTTGTCCTCTATGGATTTTGATAAGCTCTGTGTCCATGGATGGTGAGTAGCTGGCCTAAGAAGTCAAGGGTCAGTTCCAATTAGGATGATCGTCTCATCCCAGTTTGCTTGGGACTTCCTGGTTTTAGCACTGAGATGCCAAGTCCCAAGAGACCCTTCAGCCTACTTCCAGTGACCAGCATCCAGGCTGGGACCTCAGGGCATCTCTAGAGTCATTACGGAGGTGGGACACTTGACCTTTTCTTAGGAAGAGGATGGAACCCCAGTGTGTGGAGTAAAGGAGTAGGTGAACTCCTTTTCAAGTTAGGGATAGGGACTCGGGTAAAACCGTCCTTCCACCTCTGATAAGAATCAGATGCTTTTGGCCTGGGCCTGTAGTCTGCAAGCAGTAAGAGTTGGCTGCAGGCAGAGGTGCTGGTGAGGACCCCTGGGTTGGGCAAGCACTGACACTGGCAAATTGAAAATGGCAGATTGGAAAACGCAGGGCTTAGACCCTACCACATTGGAATCAGGGCAGAGGGAATGGAGGCAGGAGCTGCCGTACCCAAATCTACCCCAGGACAAGGTTTCAGGATGACATACCCTCCTGTAGGCCAACCGTGGAGTGTCTTCACAGGCATCAGCCTCAGCCTCGTTCCCAGGACAGGCTAATGGAGAAAGTGCTAGAGACACGTGATCTTGTCAACACCTGCATGGTGTGTAGCAGTCTCCCACCTGGATTTGAGAGGCAGCTGTGGACAGGAAACAAGTGAAGGAATGAGGGTTGGTAAGCCATCAGAGTTTCTTTTCCGGTCTGGTACACACGTACACACGCACACACGCACGCACGCATATTCCAGCCTGATCAAAGCATGAAGAATCTTAAGGGAGGAGACAGACGTGTGAAGTCCTGAAGAAGCCACACAGGAGAGCACAGTGAGTAAGCTCTGAGCAGGAAAGGGAGCCAGGTGCCCAGCAACTCAGGCAATGCTCACAGTTCATGATTCCCTGACAATTCCCACTGGCAGTGGACTCAGGGTGCTGTAAAGGGACACTTAGCCTCAGTGATAACTTCCATCGTACTGGAATGAGCAAAGATGAAAGAAGTTCCAAAGAGATCATGCTTATAAAAGGATCTGAGGAGACTGTAAGGTTATGGAATGGGTAGGATGAAAGAACTGTAGGATTAGATAGAAAGAGATTGGGGAGGGGTAGAAAAAGGGGGTGGTCAAAGGTCCAATCAGAGAGCTGGGAGAGGTTCAAAGAACAGCTTACATTGGACATAGAGAATAGTGTTATGACTGCGTTATAGTTACTGCTGTCTATGTCTACTCGTGTCCAGCTTCTCTTCCACCCACCGTTCCACTTTCAAATCACAAGCTGTATCAAGACAGGGTTGTGTCTCACTCAGCTCCATGTCTATGGACGTGCTCAGCACAGTGCTTTTAACATCATGGGTACTGAAGGAATGTTTCTGATAACAATTGAAGTGAATTTAAGAACCGATTTCTTGAAGTTTAGGGCATATGTCTTAGGACAAAGAATGGCAACCACATATGTGAAAATAAACCTGGTGGAGCAAACTGAAGTCCCCATCAAAGTGCCCAAAACACAGTTATGGATTATTTCTATCATACATATAAGCCATGTAATTAAATCTTTAAAACTTAAGTATAAAAACTACCCAGACTTTTTCATCAAGATCTTCATAGAGATCATGCACATCCTTTCAATTAGTACAACTTTATCTCTTTAAAAATAGTCCACAACTCCATGTAAATCAGAATGACCCATTCAGGTAAATCAGAAGGGCCTGGTATTTGCAACCTCTGGGTATTGCACAGGCTGCTTCCACAACAGGGGACAGGCAATCTCTGGCACCAGTGACTTGCTGGCTGCTGGCTGCTGGCTGGAGCCATTGTTGATGACTGATTGTTGGTCACTCCACAGCCTGTGCCTCTCTTCATTTCTCTTCGGTGCCTATTATCTTACTTCTTTCCCTGCCTTCTATTCCTTTTCTCTGTTTTCCTTTTTGTCTTCTTATATTAAAGAGACTAATCATTGCCCCCACTCCCACTTCGTCTAGGTGTTTCTGTCCCTGCACAGGGCTCTGCCTCCCCTCTCTCTAGCACGTCATTCCCCCAAAGCAACAGCTGCTGGTTCCCACTCTTCCTGAGGCCTGATCGCTCGGCTTTGCCTCGCAGTCTATGGAGATTCTTACAACCATCCCTCTCTTACTTGAGCTTATCTAGCAGACTCCTGTTCTTGCAACCAAAGGTGTCCCAGGACCCTCCTTCTTGTCTCTGTGGTAGGTGGGCCTGCCAGTGGCACCCAGAGAACAGCTCAGCTGGGACATCAAAGGGCTAACATCCAGCCTGCATGCTTTGATGCACCAGAATATGTGGAAATGGACTATTGGTTGAATTTTCCACTTTTTAGGGGGATGTTTCAGCATCTTTTGGACAAGGCTCTTGGGCTACATTTGAGCACCTTGTTAAGTCCATTAAATGAATTTTGTGGTGCAAAATAAGGAGGCTTCACACTGATGTTGCCTCTAAGCCCCTACCTAGACGGTAGGCTTAGCTGGATATAGGTGATCAGGGATTTCTTTCTTTCTCATTTTTTAAAAAAGAATGACAAATGTCTAAAATTGGGAAATAAAGTGGACTTTATCTCCCTAAAAGGACTGGCTGTAGAACAGCAAAACCTTTTTCTATCTCTAGAAGGGAACTGGGACAAGAGAATAGAAGCTTTACGAGAAATTACTGGTATTACCAAAGGCTTTTCAAAATAGACTTGAAATGAATAGTTTTTTGCTGGTTTTATTACTGCTTTGCGAGTTTACATTTATTTTTGTATGGTATTTGTCTCCTCTCTATGAGATGGTTGGTAGGGCATGAGAGCAAATAACCTTTATTGTGTTGAATTTGGGACTGAACACAATTATCTTATAACTTGGATTCCTAGTGCCATTTTTGACAATTATATTAATATTATGAACCTTTGGGGGAAAATTGAGCTCACATGCTGTAAGCTGCCTCCTTGTCAGTTGCCCTTCAAGTTATGGTGTCCCTGCTCCCCCTCCCCCATTCCTCTTCACTTGGGCAGCCTTGGGACTAATCCAGATGCTTCTAGAGGCAAACCAGGTGATCCAGCATGGGTGCCACCAAGCTACGGTATCATCTGCCCTGAAAAGACCCTTGTCCCCCCTCTGTGTGTTATTTCCAGGTGACTGCGTTGACATGAGTCTCAAGGGATCCTACAATTGCTTATCTCTACTGGTGTGTTGTGTTGCTCACAACAGAGGTAAGTCATGAGTTAATAGAATTTTTGTGAATCAAGTCACCATTGCAAATAAGTTTCATGACCATTTCAGAGATGTTTTATCTTCATTTCTGACTGGTATTTAGTTGGCAGCATTTTTTTTTTAACCTAACATCTATCCCATAGCATTTTGTAAAGTAAGGTAATGAGCTATAAATAAACCCTTAAATGCACCATGGGAACAGAACACGCTGCTGACAGAAATCCTTTTAAATAACAATCATTTTCTCTGTTCCTTCCTATTGCCCTAGTAGAAGTTTGGGTTTCCCCGAAATAGACCCAGAAATAAGGGTTTAAGCGCAAATGGCTTTATTGGGAGGTAATGTCAGGAAACACAAGTAGGGCTGTGGGGAAGTGATGCAGGGTAAGGGAAGAAGTTCAATAAAGATATGTCATTGAGTAGGTTACTATTGTGAGCAGCTGGCGCTGAATCCTGCTAGGGTCTCTGGAAGACAGTGTGGAAGACACACCTTAGAGTGTCACCACCTGAGGGCGAGGGAGCTGGGGTACTTATACACCAGCTCCCTGGGACATTGGTCTAGGGCTGCTTCAGGGGTGGGGGTGGTTGTTAATTTCCCAGAACTTCTACCTCTACATGAGCAGGAGCTGCCGAAACCCAAGAAAGCTCTCCGGCAAAGGGATGTAGGTGCTGGTAGTTGGCAGCCGAGCCAGTGAGTGTGTGCTGAAACGTAAGGACGGAGAGGCTGTGGGCAGGACATCTGCTACACTCAGCTTCTTGGAACACGTGTGAGGAAGTAGGCTTCCCGTCGCTCCAGAGAGGCACCGACAGCTTTTATTGGGAAGTGTCTTCTATGTGCATTTTCTGCAAACCAAAAACGCTTTTACAGGCTTATTATTAGGAAAGTGAAGTATTTTCCCTTAAAATATCTTCTTTATGTAGAAATACTAGGAAATGGAGCTAGTGGCCACAACAAATAGATGACAATAGAGCCTTGTTCAATAAGCTCCCATAGGTCGTTTTCCGTGGCTGGAGGACACGGAAGCAAAACGTGTACAACCTTTAGTCTCAACGTGGTCTTTAATCTACCAGCAGTGGCTTTCCATGCTTGGCGCAGGCTTGTCCCTTAGATGCTTTTTGAAAGTGTCTATGTATCCTGGGCACATTGTGGACCATGAGTGTGGCAAGGAGACCATCTGTAACTCGCCCAAGTAGGCAGGGGGCAAACAGAAGTATGCGACATCATCGCCATTTTTGATGGAAAATACTTCATTTCCCTAATGACAAGTCTCTAAAAACTTTTTTTGGCTTACAGGAAATGCACATAGAAGACACTTCCCAATAAAAGCTGTCGGTGCCTCTCTGGAGCAACGGGAAGCCTACTTCCTCACACGTGTTCCAAGAAGCTGAGTGTAGCAGATGTCCTGCCCACAGCCTCTCCGTCCTTACGTTTCAGCACACACTCACTGGCTCGGCTGCCAACTACCAGCACCTACATCTCTTTGCCGAGAGCTTTCTTGGGTTTTGTAGCCCCTGGCCCTGTAGAAGGGGGAAGTGCTGTGAAATTAGCACCCACCCCCAACCCCCAAAGCGGCCCTCGGCCAATGGCTGAGGGAGTTGGTATATAAATACCCCAGCTCCCCCGCCCTCAGGTGGCACAACTCCCAGGTGAGTCTTTTATCCTAGGCACCAGCTCCAAACATGGGGACAACTGAAAAGTGCAATTAAATCCAGGCATCTTAATTCTACTGACCTCTCTTGGAAGTCCTGGATCTTCTTGTCCCCACTGAGTCCTGCTGCTTTCTCTGTCCCTAATGGCAGCTGAACAAGTCATGCCCTAGTTGGTCTCCTATTGTTTTGAGGGTGACAAACCTCTCTAGGTTCCTAACATAGCATCAGAGAGAGATCTTAGTGACAGAGAAAATTAAGCTCATAGAGTCTCAAAAGAGTTGAGCTGAACTTCCCTTGAGATGCGTATGGATAAATTGGCATCTTGGCAAAATAGAATCCAGAAGGGTTCTGTGTCAGGTCTGCCTAGCTGGCAGCAGCCTGTATCCAGATCAGATCCATGACCATTACTTTTACTCCTAGTTCTTGTCCTTGATATATAATTTGTGACATTTCAGAGCTAGAAAAACTGTAACGGTCATCAAACCAACCTGTTTCACTGATAAGGACACTGCATTCTAGTGTGGTTAAGTAATTTGCCAGGAGCTACACAGCTAGTGAAGAGCTGGTCTAGGGGAGAGTGCCGGTCTTTTCCCACTACACTGCAGTAGAATTTCCCACTGGCTTCAGAAAAGGCAGATGTTTGGTTTCACAAAGTTTTTTGAATACTTGCTTAAGGCAGTGCAAGGCACAGTAGGGGATTTGAAAAACAAGACACAGTGCCCTTATGGCTCTTAGCAATGCAGATATGGAGATATGACCACATGGTATAGCAGAAGGGCTTTATTTTAATATGTGGAC